TAGTAATAATAATAATAATAATAATAATAATAATAATAATAATAATAATAATAATAATAATAATTGTTAATTGCTAGAATATTTGCGAGAGTAGAGTGACAGGCTAATACACTATTGTTGCACAAATGTCCAACATACATAGCAATACAAAAATGTTAAAAGAGTAGACAACAAATATTACATGAAAAACTTGCAAAGAGAATATCTCACATAGCCTAATTTATCTAAAATTATCCATTATATATTTGAGAAACAAATGAGATTATAAAGTTTTAACTTAGTTACAAAGATCATGCAATAAAAATTGTAAAACACTAATTGGGATATAACAATTACAAGATAATTGTTAGGCAACAACAACCTCTATTGATGATCAACAATAACTATTGGTTGTTTTGGCATGAAGTTTTTTTCAAGAGTGTTGAACTTATTTGCTACTTTCCTCTCTCTCATTCTTGCAAGGAATACAAGTTTATTTATAATTTTTAAGAGAATATTTTGATAAATTTGGCCCAAAACCCAAAAAATTAGTTGAGAGTTCGTGTTAAGATATTTGATCATAGAACATTCTTGTTAGGATTTAAGTGTCTCAATGATTTTAGGATTGCATTTTCAAATCCTCATTGGAATTCTCTCATTGAGATATTTGATTTTATCATGAGCATGCTATAGTTGTAGATAATTTTATATTTCAATTAATTCTTTAGAGCTTGTAATCAAAATTCAAATGCATGATTTGAGCTCATCTGTGTTCATATCAAATCGCTTTTACAGCTGTTGAACTCGTATTCTCAAGGTGTTTTGCCTTCCTATAAATTTGTTTATATCAAAGTTTAATTAATAATGAATTTAATTTTAATTTTTTTAGTTAATATTCATTAAGTTTCAAGCTCAATCAAGTGAATTTTCTTAATACAGCTCAGCAACAATAATAAAATTATAGTTCTATCTTTAATAGTTTTCTTAAAAAAATTTGAACAATAAATCACTATTCAAATAACTAGTTTTAATATAAAAAATCAACATGTTTGTTATAAATTGATATATATATATATATATATATGTGTGTGTGTGTGTGTGTGTGTGTGTGTGTGTATATATCTATCAAGAATAATAGATACACACGCATTGATTTAAACCGATTCGGGTGGCAGAAAAAAAGTGCGACCCTACGACCAGTTCATCTCCCCGCACCCCACTCGTGAGTCGTGACCCTTCGCTAATGGCTTCACCACCCCACCCCTGATCACATAACTCCGCTCCACCTCCATGGCTTGTGCCGCGGCGACTGCGCCGCCGCCTCTTCGCATAGTCTCACGCTCAAGCTCCACAGAAAAGAAGCAAAAGATCGAGAAGAAGCGCGCAGCCTTGGAAGATGTTTTCCAAGTTGCACGGCGCGACAGGGCGTTCGTGAGCGAGCGCCTGCGCTGGGCCGCAGAGCCACTCCGTCCGATTCCCAAGCACGTATCTGAGGTTTTTAGTGACATCTTTTGGCTCCGCTTCTTGGAAAACAACCAAGCTCAGTATATCCCACGGCAGCGGTCCTCATGGCCCTGTGTTTCTTATCCTCCAGGTCGCCATATCGCCTCTTTCACTTTCAAAGTTTTATGTTGTCCTTTTTGGTTCAATGTTTTTTGCAGGTAGGTGTTTTCTAAATAAGCGTGCAATGCTATTTTTAAAGAACTTTATTTTTTTTCTTGTTATTTCCTTTAGGTGATGTTTGGTTCGCTGGCTTAGTAGACAGGGATTTGTTCGGAGACTTGTCTTTTTGGAAAAGAATAAATCAATGGAGAATTTTCTAATAATGTAGTTCTCATGAGAAGAACGAGGGAGAGCACTGGAGGTGTGCGCAATTTGGATAAAACTGACAAACAAATCAAATTTATCTTACCTGATTTTTCAAGTATAGATTTGGTTATTAGTTGTAATTTTGATTTCCTTTGAACTTTCTTTAATTGGTTTGGATTTTGTTTTTGTAAAATAGATACAACAAATATTAAATTTTCCTAATTTCTTCAAATATTAAATTAGCAAATCCTTTGAGTTGCGAATAAACGAGCGACATAAAAATTAACATGGATACTTTTTATCCCAAATATCAACATTTTAAAATTTAGCAAGTATAACTTGATATGATTCTTAATTTGTGGTTCATTATTAAAGTAAATTGCATTTTGGTTTGCCTTGAATTGAACAAAATTGATCAAACTAAAGTTTAGTTTGGTTTTGAAAACAATTGGTTGGTTAAGATATCCAAAATCCAGAATCAAGATCAATTGATTAAGCAAATTTGGGAGCTAAACATATCAAATTGACCAGATGCACATACATAGATAACACACATATGGGAGTTCAACAACGAGCAACACAAGGAGAATACCATGCCTAAATCATTTTACAAGGAGCAGAGATGAGTGGGATTTACATTAGTTTTATCTAGGGATATACATCCACCCTAAGGCCCGCCAGAAGAAGTATAGAGTTTCCTAGAGAGAGAACAAAAGAAATATATAGCTGAGATTTTAAACTTGAGATAGAATAAAGCTGAGGAGATTACAACAGGTGGAAGCAGGAGGGAAGAAAATAAAAGGTCAAATTTCTAAGGTGAAAACATATTAGTTTTACAACTCTTTTATGTAACACGACATGATATTTATTTTTTTTTAAATGAGGCCAAAGTGCCAACACTACACAATTTGTCACCTACGTGGCACCAAATTGTGCCGCATAAGAACAACTTGCTTGTAATATACTTTTATATTTATTTTAAAGTCTTAAATTATTCTTTAGAATTCACTTGCTTTGTACTTTTTGTTTTAGCTTCTAGGCACTCATAATGGTTTAAAAACCTCATTCAATAAAATTCTTTCATTTTCTCTCATCTTCTCCTCTATCTTTCTCATTTTAATTTATTTAATTTTGAAAAAAAATAATTAATAATTTCTTTAAACAATAGTACATTTATTTTTAAAAACTAAATTATAAAAAAAATAATTTTGAAATTAAAAATTATTTTTCATAATTATATACCATTTTGATTAAATTTAAGTTTGAATGTTATTAAACTTATTTTAAATAAGATATAGTTAAGTTTATTTTATGTTAAAAATTTATTAAACAAGTTGACTCACTACATAACTAGTTGAGTTGAGATTATTTTAAATTTGACTCGTTAAGCATAACTCGTGAGCTATTTATTGAGTTGAGCCCGATCTATTTCACTATTCGTTTTGATATATAAAAATTTGTGTTATATATTTCATTTTCACATAAATAAAGTTTGTTAATATAGTTTCTATTACTTCAAAAAATAATATTATTTTGTTAATATAGTTTCTATTACATAAATAAAATTTGTTAAAGCGGACTAAATACAGAAAGGCTGCATGAGAGGGCATAAAAGAAAGTTCAACTCACACAACACAACACACACAAATCCCAAATAAAGCAAATGTACATAAAGGTAAAAAATAAAAAAACTACCAAATTACGCAAAATTGCTAGAGGCTTCCCACTTTAGTCTTCTTTCTGCCTCTAGTTCTCGGAAGTGAGCCGGCTAACAAATTGATAAGATGAGTACCATTGCCTGAAGTAACCAAAGTATCATCTATTAGATTTATGAGCTTAAATAGGTCTCCATTCTTCTTTTTCCTCCTGGATGTGTAGACCTGTCATTCCTCATCCAATGATTGACTTATCTGATCAGTAAATTCCAAAGTTGGCCGGACAAGTGTAGGCTGTTGCACATCATGATCCCCATGAGCCCGAGTAACATTAACAGCTTGCTGGACCTGATGAGACGGTAGTGAAACAGTAGAAATATTGTCACCTTTAATATCGGTGATAAGTTCTAAGGCAAGTGGGGTTTGAAGAATTTCCCTCTCCCCCATGATAGGAGGTTCAAAGACGGGGGAGCTACAACTGGGGACTGAATGATTGTCATGTTGCCTGCGAGAATAGTGACGTCTTCAGGGGTATCTTTTTGATGATCGATAGTGTCAATAACTTGGAGTTGATTGGGAGGAGATGAAATCTCTATCTCTAGCAGAACACTGTGTTTTTTTGGTCTGAGTTGGGGGTGTAAATGGTTGCATTGAGAACTGGAGTAGCTGAACATACGACAGTTCGAACAATACGATGAAAAAGCCTCATCATTACCTTTTGCCAATATACATGATGCTGTGTGCTAACTAAATTCCTCAGAATCAGATGAAATGATGTCTCTTTCAACAAGTACTCTGGTTTCAAATGGACGGGAAATATGAAAAGTATGAATGTCCGTTTTGAGTGACTTACCATAAGCTGAGACAATAAAGTTAAACACTTTTTGAGTAAAAATTTGTTACATAGGTAGGCTGTATATATAAATGAAATTTCAGACCAGAGAGGCGTGTTTTTTTCTATTTTTATATTCTATTTTTCTATTTTTATATTCTATTGGGTCAAAATCCACTAAATCCACTGACCATTTCAGAATCTTCATTGTTCTGTTATCAATCCAGATTATTCTTCTAGCAAATAAGTGTGTGTAATCCTCTTCATTATTTTGTTGTATAAGAATGTGTCTTTCATTTAACAATTCAATTTTTCACTCCCCAACAAGGTGCATAAGCTCAAATTTCTTACGAATCAACTTCATTTTGTGATGACCATACAAAAATTTCTTGATCAAATTCAATCGACAGGAGGAAGTAAGTTGAATATTTTCAGTTTCTGTAAAAAGATGACATGCTTCTCATTCTTCATACCAGGTTTCTTGATGTCCTCCGTCCACTCAAACGATAGAAGGAAAAAACACGATTTAGGTGTACTTGAGGCGTGGACAACCGCAAAGGCAGCCATAAAGGCAACAATATACAATATGTCCGAAGCCATCCCCAATAGATGGAGGTGCTACGTTAAGAACAGTGAAGAAAACAAAGCAGAGAGCAAACTTCGAATCCAGAACAGGGAGCAGGAGCGGAAACCCGAAGCCCCTGCAATTTTAGCGAGAATGAGATGCGACAACTAGAAAGGCGCGACCAATAGTAACCGAGCTCGACTAAGCTCGCGCATCCGACGCACGAGTAGTAGACGACATGAGAGTAGACAACGCACGAGTAGCGACGACGCACGTTGACTGTGGCGACAACGGCGAATCAGACGAAAGTGACGAAATTGATGATCGACGAGCAGAGCTTGATCGACGAAGAGATGCAGTGGAGTAATAATTAGGGATTGCCATGACGAAACCCTAGCAAAGCATGAGCGGGAGCACCATCTATATATATATATATATATTGAGAAAGCCCAAAGACTAATATATTAAAAGTAAATAAGGATACATATAGATTGTGTGGAAGGGCCCAAGCATGACATCCTTTTTTCACGATAACCATCACATACAAATGATTCCAAAAAAAGTGAAAATATAAAAAATTACAAGAGACCTAAAGAAAAAAAATGCCAAAAAATGTGGTATCAGGTAGCTAGAGAGAAACCCAATTTTGCTTTGCCTCTACTTCTAGTTTTAGGAAACGAGCCAACTAATAAGTTAGTAAGATGAGTGCCATTGCCAGTAGTGACCAAAGTATCATCCAACAAGTTTTCAAGCTTGAGCCGACCTCCAGTCTTCTTCTTCCTCCTGGAATAGACCTGTCATTCCTCATCCGAAGATTGACTCGCCTGATCAGTGAATTGGTTTAAAGTGTGTTGGACATATGTAGGATGTTAAACATTAGATGTAACTGTTTGTTGTACCAGCTGATCTTTGATTGAATCAAAGAAGCACTCTCGTGTGACTTTGCATGTAAGCGAGTATTCTTCAATAACAGTGAGTGATATAAATACTTTTGGATTTGTACATGTAGTATGATGTTCTTCATCAGGAACTGCGATGTTGGGTAAATGATCGGTTTGCACCTTATCAGCATAGATGGTAAGTGACTGATCATTAGCGATATCCAAAATCTGTCCTGTGGTAGCTTTCTCTCCAGATGGAACAAATATGATGGAACAACAGATGGAACAAATATGTCCAGAGTAGTGGGATTAGATTCATCCTTATTCACTTGATCTTTAGATTTCAAATTAGGATGAAACTTATGACATTTATCAAGTGTATGCTCAAACATCTTACAATAAGAACAGTAAAATGGTCTATGCTTGATGACGATTTGTTGCCAATATACATTATTAGTTGTGTCCAACCAGACTTCAGTAACATCAGGTAAAGTAATATCTCTTTCCACAAGTATTCTGGCCACAAAAGGTCTGATTAGGTTGAAAGTCGGTCGATCTAGCTTCATAAGGTCCCCAAGTATGACCCCAATAGAGTAAAAAACCTGATGATAAAAAAAGTGCAGCTTGAGACCTGAGAGACTGAACTATACCGGTACAGTAGGAGGTTCATGGTCAAAATCTGGGGTCAAAATCAGGAGACCACTTGAGTAGCTTTATTGATTTACCAGCAATGCTGAGATATTTTTTGGAGAAAATTCTAGTGTAGTCTTCAGCCTCGATTAATTGAATCAATACATGTCTCGCATCCATGAGCCCCACATTCTAGTTTCCTGCTAACTTGAGATCATCAAA